GAATGTCTCAAGAATGACAACAGGAGATTATCATCTAGAGGAAATGAAGATTATCAGTTGCCGATTAAAATGAGTTATCAAGTTTAAGATATACGATGACCGGAATATGTACTTTTTCAATCTATTTTCTAAACATTAAGTACCGCACACATTTTCACTCGTACGAAAACACGAGTTTCGAAGTAGTTTGTGTTTTATTGAATATTAAATATTTTATATAAAATATAAAGTTTTTTTTAAAAATTACCAAACCTTATTTGATAATTGCTATTGTTATTGAATGGATAAAGAAAATACCTTTTTTGTCAAAGGAGGTTGCTTTTACAGTTACAGTAAATATTTTAATAATGCTTTTCGATGCATTTACCAAGGGTACATTGAAGGTGAGGCATCGACTTAATCCATCGCTTGAAGGATTCCAGATGAGCTGCAAGTTGTTCCTTATTCTCCTTCAGTTCCTTTGCAGTACGTTTGCTGTAGATGGGCGGAAGAGGTTTGGTTGAATCATAGAGGGTGTAGGGCTTAAATTCACTCTGCTGACTCTTCGACATGCCTAAGAAGTTGTGCAATGTGTGCCTAACTCGAACTAAGAGTTGAATATATATGGCAAAGTAAATTTTAAGAATAATTTCACAAATCCCTTTGATTGGCTTGACTGCATACTTATGGACTATTTATTCCCTCAATTGCGATAAATGAAATGTATTCATTTCTACTCCGTTGTTTGTTTTAAACAAAGCCCGTATCCATTTTGATTGTTTGAAACATTTGTTTTTTCTCCATTTTCGGAGAAGTCAAATTTAGGATCAATGATCCTTTAATAGCAGAGGCATTAAATCATAAAGGTGATAAGTTTCTAGTTTTGTAATACGAAAAGGCGATTCAGTCAACGGTTCGATATTTTCCAAATCCACTTATTTTACTCTCTAGCAACAGTGGGTTTTTTATTTTTCGAGATAATTACCTTTAAAGTAAGTATTAGGAATGAGAAAATGCTAATTCTATTCCCGAAATTAAGCCACTTTAATATAATTTTTTTGAATTTACGAAGAACGTTATGTTCTTCTTAAGATACCTTCCAGTGTGCTTCCCAGTATCTTTTGCTCTACCCAACTGCGTTGAGCTCTTGCCGTATATTGCTTACCAAATGTTCCCAGTTCTCTACCGAATTTATTTCATCTATGGGCCTTTATGCGCATTTACTTATTCAACGCTTTCGAACACCTTCGTTTCAAGGCGTTCTCCCCCCTCCCCCACTAAGATAACCAATCAAATTACAAATTACATGGCTGTCGCATTCTCTCTGTTCTGACACTAACTTTGCTATTACTCTCTCCTGATCTTGTAAGGACAATGCTTTTTCCATTGTCAGTTTGATCTTTTATTAGTTTATTTATTGAAAAATTATTCCATTAAACATTAGAATGAGATATGTGAGTGAGAATGCAAGTAACACTCTTTTTATGATATCTTAAATTCATATTTAAATACATATCTAATTTATTTATCGATGAAAGTGTTGACTGGAAAAAGAGTTGAACTGAAAGTCTGTATATTTTTGACAATTACAAATGTATTACCAATTGCTTTATCCCAATGGCTACGTCGCTATATCTTTGTTCTAGCTGTTTTCTTTAATTACTGTCCTTAAATGTGAGACTGCGTGGGTCATGCATAAATTAAGTAAACATTCAGTACTTTTGATTATACAGAGTGCTCGGGATAAATTCGACAGAAAAGGGGTTCGTAACATCAAAATTTGATAGATTAAAAAGAAATTTCATTAATGAGGAAACTACGCCAAGAATGGAGAGGCACTAAATTATTCTTATGGGAGGTTATCACTACAATTACAGTGGTGAGTTTGGGGAATTCAGTCTATATAAACAGATGAATGTTCTTAGAACAGTGTCTAAGTCAAACTAACTGTTATTCTACCTGTTGGGCCTTTGATTTTGACAAAACTTTCCTAATCAGGAAAGCCCAGAAAAATTTGTGCCAAAAAAGAATGATTTACTTTTGATAAAAAGTTGATTTGCCTTTGTGAGTTGATATTGGGTGGGTTTTCTACGAGAAGCTGATCTCTACAATACCTAGTAATTGCAAAAGTCGTTGTTGTGAGTGATCTTAATGGTAGAAGCTGAAATATCCAAGAAAGTACGTCTAAAAAGCCTGAATCCGATGTCAAGATGCTCTACATCTTCTTTTCTGCGGGAGATTATTGCGGAAATCTGCTGTGCGAGCGCATTTATATCACATGTCCCGCATCATAACATTCACAAAGTCTCCATTGTCATTCTGCATTTCTTTTCGTAATGCGGACAGATCTTCGATCAGTAGTCGAAAACATCAAGGTAAAGTTTCTTTCCTTCCATGATTTTCCATTCACATAATCATCATGTATCGAAAGGAGGAAGGGTTTAAGGGAAGTGCAGTATGCGTAATAACGTTTAGCACAGTTTAAAAGAAATATTACAAATATTACCCCCTAAAATTATCCTATTCAGAATACATTTATAAACTATACTCACCTCTGCCTTAAGGCTTAGTTGTAGTGAACTTTCCACTTTCAATCACGATTCCTCACTAGGTAGAACTATAACGTTGAAATGATAGAGCTAACTTAAAGTTAAATTGGTTGCACCCGACTTAATTCAATTCCTATAAAATTTTGGAAATTATTTTCAAAGGCATTCGCCAATGTTTTTTTAGCTTTAATATGAATAATTGCGGATTCTTTTAGTATTTTAACTGTTATCATTTAATGCACTTATTAATTTGTCTATTACATCCACCGCGTTGCCCTTTTTATTTTGTTTTACAGAATCAAATTTTGAGCCGATTTTAATTCTTTAACGCCCTTTGGTTCGTACGATTCTCTTTCAAAATAAGCTTAATTGGTACTAGACCCAGAGCAGAGGGTACATGTCCAACACGAGACTATAGCCCTCACCTTTTACCACCAAATATCATCACGCCAAAGGCAGCATGAGTGAGGTTTGGTGTATTTTAAAGAAAAAATAATTCAGGTGTCAAAGGGTTAAAATACTGGAGATGGTGAACAGGCTCACATCATTTAAACCCCTCAATTTAATTCCTGGTTAGGTGCACTGCTATTAAAGTAGACAAATAAGTTATTATAATAGTGAAAAATTGTTTGATACACATGGACATGGCTCTAAAAACCATAAAATGATTTGGGCTCATTTAAAAATAGGTAAAGTATGCTTTGTCTTAAAACAACTAAAACCATAAAAGTTAGTAAAGATTAAAATATAGTTTCTAATGAAAAATAATTAGCTGAGAATACTGGTTACAGGTCCTTTTAAATAAATAAAAACCGAAATTTTAACATTCAAATGATGATTAATTAAGAATTTTAATTTTCAATTTTATGAGTACAAAATTTCTTCAAACGTAAATTGTTTACTTTCTCCAAGGGACAGTTTTATTCGGGAATTGTGTCGAAGACCTATATCATATCACCATTATTTGGCATAATTGCAACTGAATCACCGGGGTTTCTGAAATTCAATTTTCCTAATCGAAATATTCTTATTTCAACAATAAAATGTTTAACTTTCGTTCTTCTCAAAAGTTGGGGCATTTGCATTTAGAACAAGTTCCGTTGGAAATGTCTTCATTAAATGGTGTTTATCTATTTACCATCATAGCTTACACTTTGATCTCATATTTACAGAAAAGTTTGACTATGACTTAGATTTCTAGCATTGATAAGTAGTGAAAATTCGATTAGATAATGACTTCGCTTGCGTAGACAGCAAGGTTTGCCCATGTAATTATGTAGTTAAGAGTATATTGACGTTTACCAACATTACCAAAGCAGCGAGGAGGTGATTGAACTATATCTGGAAAAATTGCAGTTTAACCTTGTCATTAATTCCCCAAGCAATCAACTGAACACCGTTTTGTTAGGAAATTCGACGAGCGTGTTGGAGGGTACTGAGTTCGCAAGTACTGAAGACATCATAACAGAATTTTGATCTTGTTATTAAGCTCATGAGTAAGTGACATTTCGAGAGAGGAGTGAGTGAAGAGAGAATGCGTGTTTGCGAAATTCTAGCAGAGCTGCAAGATTTCCTATACTTATTTGACAGGCTGAAACAGCACTGAGAGCTTCCTGGTGTTAAGCGGAATATTTCAAAGGGTTTTGTTGCTAACCGGAGCAAGTATCGATTGATTTAAATAGAGAAATAGAATGAATGCTTCATTTAGTCCTGCATAAAGCAGAGAATTAACTGACAGTTTTTGTACCAAATTCCGTCATTGCAGAAGTCTGTAGAGGAATAAATCCAATTAATGAAACTCATTTAGATCATAAATCCAGATGCTAATCAAATGGTATACCTCAACTATTTTCTTTTTGGGGAATTTTTTATTTTCGGCTGTATAATGTGGTGCTATAGTAGTAAAATGTTGTAAGTCCAAATAGGACTTACCTTACTTGTAAATATTTTGTTCCACTTTTAGACATATTCTAGCCAAGGATTTGCGACATAATTTTCTTTTATGGCCCGTGATATCGCTTAACGAACATAGACTACCAATTTGCACCCTTGAATCGATCAAGCAATTAACTGCTCAGTGTTTAAAAGAACTTTACAGATCTGCCACGGTCGGGTCACTTGGATCAAAGACTGGGAATAAATTAAATCAATACAACTAGTTGAAGATTTTCTACAATGCTGGCTAAGATAATAATAGCTTAATCCACTTCCCCATAAGAACTATAACTATGTCCTGAGTGAAGTCAAGAGATTTGCAAAATCTATAACTTTATATTTAATAGTTCAATATTTTTGGTATTGATCACATTAGATCAAATACTGAAATAAAATTCCAATTATTAATATTTACACTGTTTTAGTAGTTACTTATAAATTTGTAATTATTGTTTATATCGTTTCAAAGTTGATACGTGTTTGGGAATTTTATTTTGATTATTCTTTATAATGGTCTAAATAGAAATTCATTCTTGTTTGTATAACCAAATCCAATGGATCACAGTAGATAGAGCAAATGGCGAACTCTGTATCTTTTGAAATAGAAAGGCTGTATTCCCTACGCTTGATAATCACTAAAGTAATTAATAGGATTTCAGCTGATAAAATTCGCACCACCCCGCCCCCCTCTCCAACAATTTTCCCTTTTATTTAATTCAATTCAAAATTACATTCTGATTTTAGAGTAGACAGCATCAATAATTGGCCTTAACCTTCTTGTCATTTTAGATAAAGATGCAATAATGTTCGGACTGAAGTAAAAATTCGTTATAAAATATTAATCTTATAAAAAAATGATATTTAAGTAAAATCTTTGTGAGTAACGTTTTTACTTTAGAACATGACAACTCATTCAGATTTTAAAATTTCCAGCCATGCCGAATAGGGCAATCTAGTTTATTATTCATTTATAAATATCTTTTATTCAACCTCCTATCAATATATGTAAAGCATGTATCGAGTGAGGATGTAGAGGATTCATGCCACTACCAAATTTCTATGATACATCGTAAAATAATAAGTTATTT